TTCTTGACTACACCCCAAAAAAAGAAATACATTGGTGTCAGGTCAGGTGAACGTGATTGTGAAGGAGAAACAAATAATAGAGTAACTGTAACCCTACTTTTGGCCCACCCTGTATATGTTTACGTGGAAAACACCATTACTGTACCATCAACACGTATTAACCTAGAAACTTTGCTGTCCCACGTGATGCTTACATACATTCCAGTTAGAAGACAAAGAAAAATTTTTAGATGGGTAGCGTGGCTCAGTCGCTTTGGACTTTTTATATAACGGTGTCAAGTTCGAGGCGGGACGCATCATAATATTGTATCTCACTTGTTTCAGTTTACTTTTTTGTTAGCTGAGGTTCAATCTGCAGTTGACTGGTATTACACTTGTGCCATTGTAATCAGAATTCGAAAGTTTTTGAACTAACTAGTGTTAAGACTGACTGATAATGTGCTGTATTTTATTTGATGGCAAAATTACTAGTCCTAATCAGGGTCTTGTTAATACGTTTAACTAGAGCAACTAGATTATGATAAATAAAATCAGAAAATGATAATCACTTAACGCAAACCCTAGTAATCCAGTTAAAACGTGTGTAAATTATCTGTACTTTAATTGTATTGTTTAAACAGTCGTAACTGGAAGGGAAAACATTATGTTTCGATGCACTGACTAAATAAGATATACTTCGAATACCCTTACTCACTCAACGAGATGACTATGACAACAAGATGGTATGAAGACTGCCAACCAAGAGATTTTCAAGGATTACCAAACAAGATATTTTGAAAGACATCTTTTACCTCATTAAGTGTATTGCATAAATATCCCTTGTACTAACTGATTATTATTATTACATACTTACTAGGCTTTGAGTCTCAAAATGAAGCTAGAATGAAAAATATTTTTAATCAATTTTCTCTATATGGAGATCTTATGTGGCATGTTAAGTTTAAAAAGAAAATTAAAATAAACATATCCCTCATGATGGGGTTTATTAGTATCTAAAATACTAAAATAAATCTAGTTTTAAGAACCTTTGAATGCAGAGGTTGAGTATGTTATATTAAAACGATTTTGTAGCTTCGCCAAGTTGTTAAGATTCATGTTGCCAGTGTCTGATCATACTCTGATCTGACAATCATGCACCTTCTCAATGGCCATGCAGCATAATTTTCATTTCAAAAGCCTCCATCATAACAATTTCGTTCCCAAAGCATACCACTCCTCCCTGCTGGCTTTCCTTAAATCCATCTAGTGTAAGAGTCCAGCAGTCCAATCGGATATAAATTCATAAGTAACTCAACTGTTATATTTTAGTATGGAATAGCATGAGAACTAATTTCATTCTCCATCTTCTTAAGATATGCAATGATTGCATGAATATGTCATGGAAGCAGCTTGTATACACATGAATTGTATCACATTTCCAGATGAAAATCCTTCTTGTTCATATCACACAGTGTTACCTGGGGCATGTGGACAACTTGTGCCACTGATCTTTGTGTTCATAGATTCTCATCTGTTGCACGAAACTACAATTTTCTTACCAAGCTTGGGTATGACTCATTAAGTCTCTCTGAATGGTTCTGGTACCAGAATTTTTTTCATATTCCTTTGCTTACTAATGCTACTAAGTAAAATGGATATCCTCGTCTTTGAAATTCTACCCCCCCCCCAATCTGAATACATCGTTATGATCCCAGTTATAAATATTTTATATCAGAAATGGCGGTTACATACCCTTCCCCAAAGTGATCAATTTTAGGTGTCATCACACTACTTATGAACCATCAAACAATGGCAAATGTAGTTCAGCTACATATCATTCCACCGTGAATTTATATGGCCTATAGTTGTTAGGTAACTGGCTAACTTGCATATTCAATAATATACCTAACTCTCTGTATATGCTGTATGTGTTTTTCTTTTGTGTCGACCTATTAATTTTTATCTGCTTTTCTTGGTACAGTATGGTTTGCAAAGAATGTTTTTAAATAATCAAAATATGCCTGTCAGGAAATCAATGTAGGAACTGTATCATTCTAATAATAAATAATCCTGTTTCACCATTTGTAGTAGAATATATTTATGTACATATTTTAACCCAGTGTTTGATGTGTATATAAAAAAAAAAATGTGTCGATTTATTTTTCAGGAATGACATTTGCTACAACAAGGATGAACCCTGTGATACCCTAGGTATAGTATGTAATACATAACATTTTCTGCAATACAAACAAAGTAGTTATTGCTTTTATATACTTAAGCATAGTCTAATGAGTAAAAAAATAATTCAAAAAGCAATCTTGAATTGAAACCAGTTTGTAAACATCAAAGTACACAAAAAAGAAGTAATATAATATTCGTAGCTCTACTATTATTTTCACTACATAAAATTGGCAGTCATTGTTTATACATAATATCTGATTTCCCATGAATCTAATAAAATGGAATATTTTTAAACCACTAATGAATAAGAGCATCATATCATTCCAATACTTTATAAGCTATAGGGGCACTCAGTAGAGTAAATACCTCTGCAATGCAGCATTGATCATAAGTAGTTACCTCCTCACTTCAGACACACATGCTGATTGTCCACCTCAGGGGGAGGGAGGATGGAGTACAGATGATGATGTCGCCAGAAACGATTACGTCCACGAATTGTCACCAGAGGGCGCGTTCCCAAAGGAAGCACTGCTAGGCCGCCATTAGAGGCAGATATGAAGCCAGAGAGGATGACATCCACAATGTGTCACCAAAGGGCACGTTGTTAGGCTGCCATGACAGATGGACATAACGTCATAGTTCCACAAAGTAGAACCAAAATCACGATGACATTATACATGTCTCAATGTGTAATCACAGGCTAGATTTAATACAGACGATTTATGTATAAAACACTAATTCATTAGTTCTATATTTAATCATACTTCTTTACATTTCCTGACCCCTTATATGTAAATCACTTAATGTCCCAAAATGATGGTTATTTAACATGCAAATTTACGACAATCTTACTGTTTCACTAGTTTCTCTTTATCCGTATAACTAATTACTAAGAGTAGTGTTTCTATGAATGGAATTTGATGAGCTCAACGTGTCAACAATAACTAGATCCAATTACATGTAAAACTATTACTGATTTAACATAATAAAAAGTTCTTGACACAATATTACTTTTTATCACTTTATTAATTATTTCACAATAAAGATTTAGCAATCTGATCTGCATAAAAAGAGACGTCTATTAAGGATGTATGTACATGAAAATGTTTTGCAACAAAATCATGAACAAATATATCATTAATATCTTTGTGGGATCCAAATTTAGATAGCAATTTTCATTTTGTCACATGCAGAAAATGATAATAAGCATAATATATATATATATACAATATTGTTCACACACATATGCATACAGTCTTTGTAGTACTTTTTTGTTGTAAGTCCACTTTCAAAAGTTCTTCTTGATGAATTTTCTTATGTTGAGGTTAGGTGGAGGTAGTCTTAATGGATCAAAATATTCTCATTTTTTCATTTCGACCAACGTAAATACAGGCCCAGTGGCTATCACATTTATGACTCGGATGTACTGTTTTTTTGTTTTTTTTTTGCATGATCAGGTAGTTTATCACTGGCAATCACACTCCAAACATTTTTTGCGTAAACAAATCTTGTGAAAGTATCAAATAAATTTCTAGTGTTCATAGCTTCTTTCAGGCAATGTTCTGACACCTTGTCAGAATTTAAAATTATATATATATATATAACTTTCCTTTTTGCCAATTGTCAAATAGAAAGGCTTTTAGTTATATTTCTTCATAGTATAAATATATACCATGTTGTTGTTGGGCTTAGGATTCTTCTACAGTAGGTGTCTGTGATTGTTAGTGATAAATTGAAGGATGAATAAACAGCACACAGTTCAGTTGTTTTCAAAATAATATATATATATATATTCAGAACAGGTTAATGTATACACAATAAATTTTTCAAGACTATAGATATTATGGTCTTATCATAAATACAATATATGTAGTTCTCTCCTTCTTGTCAAATATGCACTTAGGCCTATTCAGTTACTTTAGAATTTCAGTTGACAAACTGAACTAGCACATTAGTATTCTCTGTGATTCTCTTACAATTGTGACGTGAGTTACCATAATTGTTTGGTCTTCTTTCCTTAGAAGATCCTCTGTTCTTTTTATTAAAGTATGCACAGGCTGATTTAATTACTTTATAACCATGCTTTGATGGAATAAAATTATTTTCTTATTTTCTTTTCTACTGTTAGTTTCGCAATAACATATTAAACGTTAGGCCTATCACTTCTAGATACTTACCTTCACCCCAATTTTATTCTATTTCGCTATTATCTGTCTGCTGTTCCTGCTTGTCTCACGCTATTTATATCTTTATCACTTAATCATCTGTCCATCTTTTATATTCTCCACATCAATGAATTATTAACAAAACTTCCTACATTCGTCTGTTTTTAACATTTATTATAACAAAAACTAAACAATAATATAATATTCACTCACAAAAATAATTTAATCATTAATATCTAAATCAAACAGTTTTATATCATGAAACACCTGTTGTTTCACTATCAAAGGACAACTATCATAACATACATATTATCCATTATTTGAATGAGGCAGTTATTATAACCAATAATTAACTTTAATTATCCAGAAAAGAACGATTTTTTATAATTTAATATACTGTTTCCCTTTATAAGTATATATATATCATTTTGTTACAACTAAAAATAATAAATGAACAACTTACTGTTTATCCATCCATTTTCTATTACAATTTCACAAAACATTGAGACTGTCTAATATTAAGACATTGTTTGTTAGGAATTATCGCACACACATACAAACAGTGTGGGCACTGACGTCAGGACAAGTTGTAGAAGGTCATCACGTGATTACACATATAATGTGGGGCTGTGAGATATTTCAGCACCAGTCCATGACAAATTTTGACCTTTGTTCATTAGTCACACTGGAAAAACATTGCATGTTCTCTTCTACATCTTTCAAAACGATTATGTACATTTACACTTAGTAGCTTTCCAAATGCACGATTGAACTACAATTCTTCAATTATTTCACTTTGTAGAAAAATCATAAGTTACAAAACAGTATTCTGTGATTTTTTTATATGAAACTCGCGTTTTGTCATAGTCCAATATCGTATCATGTAAATAAAATTAATAAATATCATACATGCTTAACAAATACTTCAAGCACTATATGCATCATGGTTTATAATTCTATTGGATGAGCTTTCATACAAATTATGTTCATTCCAACTCAGTATGTAAGATTTTATATAGTTTATAAACAATAGTGAAATTGGTCAAAAATTGAGTTTAATTATCTCATGTCATAATTTCCATAGACTCAGAAAATATAATGAACAGATACGAAACAATGTTATGGTAACAACTAAAATAAGTGTTGCTATATATCAAATGATTTATCGTGAAAAAGACGTTTATTTTCATGTTTAGCTTTATAATTGAACCAATGAACAAAGCTCAAAACTTGTCATTGACTGGTAATCTGAAATATCTCATAGCCCCACACTGTATGTGTAACCATGTGATGACCTTCTACAAATTGTCTTGACGTCCGTGTGATAATTCCTAACAAACGGTGTCTTAACATTAGACAGTCTCAATGTTTTATGAAATAGTAATAGAAAATGGATGGATAAACAGTAAGACGTTCATTTATTAATTTTAGTTGTAACAAAATGAAATTACACTTATAAAGTGAAACAGTATGTTAAATGAAAAAAAATTAACTAATCGTCCTTTTCTGGATGATAAAAGTAAATTATTGGTTATAATAACTGCCTCATTCAAATAATGGATAACATGTAAGTTATAATATTTGTTTCATTGACTTTTGAAAGTGAAACAACAGGTGTCTTATGAAACATTGTCTGAAAGAAGTTATGAACACTTTAGAAATGTATTCGATACTTTCACAAGATTTGTGTGCGCAAAACACGTTTGGAGGTGTGATTGCTAGTGGTCAACTACCTGATCATGCAGAAAAACAACTGTACATCTGAATCATAAACCTATGTCCACCATGTTCGGGTTACAGAGCAAAAATAGTGTGAAAAATTAGTCCTCATGTTAAGATATAGGGCTTTTTTGTATTTTCGTGACCTTGCTGTCACCTTGACCCTCGTAAAGCTACTCATTCCTGAGGTGGGCTGTGGTACAAATGTATACTAACTTTCATTCAAATCCATTCAGCCGTTGTAGAGAAATCAAGTTGACAAACACATACCCAGAGGTGAAAACATAGCCTCCATCACCTTTGGTGGCGGAGATAATGACAAGATGGTTTTGTTGTAAAATCAAATGCAAGTAAAACTGAAGGAATAATATGGTTATAGTTAGTAACACTTACGGTTTAAACATGAAAGTTGGCAAAGCATAGAAGCTAATAGGCTTAAAATTTGTGATAAAGAGCACTTAGACTGTATATGTTTTTCCCCACATTCCTCTTAATTTGTCTAATCCGGATTCAAAGTCCTGAAAGTGTAAAAATAGCTTGCCAGGTAATTTTTTTTTGTCTCTCACAAGTCACTGCTCAAGAAGCTTTTCGTAAATTCAAGGACTCGTCAGTTGAGTTGGATGATGAGAGACAAAAGAGCTCTCGAGCTCTGGTATTGAACGAAAGTCGTCCTTGAAAAAAAACCAAAAAACATTAGCAATTTACATGATTTTTATCACAAAATATAAGCTATAGTGTCAGAGAATAAATAATTAAAGTAAACGTCTTTATTGGGTAAGTAAGAAATAAAGTGAAAATGGACATTAAGCAAACAGAACTGTAGGAATATTTTGTCAGATAACTGGCTGAAGCCACGTCTACTGTCTAGTCAGAATAGTTGAATTAGGCCTCTGTTAGCTAACAAAATGAAGTCAATTATATGCTCAATATGGCAGCAGTGTCAGGTCATGCATACAACCACTTGTACAGCCTAGAGAATACAAAAAAAAACAAGTTCAGGTATTTAATTGAATTTAGATCCTGTATTTGGCTAGTTAGAACAAAAACTGGCACTTTTCTGAATTTAGTTATAAATTAAACAGCAACAATAGGCTGCTATTAGGTAGAAAACCATATGGGGCCAAACATACAGTATAGCGTTTTAAGTCCGCAGACATACCGCTGTGCTACTGGGGGCAGCATTGTTATGTATTTTTCACTGAGATTAAGCTACTTCAGACAATTTTTGTTACTTTATCTTTCTTTTTCTTAAATGGTTATAGTAGTTTTTAGCCGTTGTTGTTATCTAAATGTATTTATTCATCAGGGTTAGGTCAAGTGTCAGGGATGTGTGAACCTAGTAGAAGCTGCAGTATTAACCAGGATATTGGTTTAATTTCTGGATTCACTATCGCTCACGAGATGGGACATAAGTATGTTTTGTTCATTTTTTAAATATTCATTATTGTTAAATTTTCATTTTTATTTGTTTATTTATCAGATTATCATTATAATTATCAAATGTTCCCGATTTCAGCCTAATATAAAAGTGCATAATTGTATTTTTATATAATAATGTAACTGAAGGTATAATAACCACATATCTCGTACATTTCGATGTTTTTATTAGATAAATGAAACTTACAACAATCATTTCATTAATCTAATGTACTGGAAAGTTGATATTGGACATTATTAAACTATCTTCGTTTACTAAACTGACACAGATTTAGTTTATCACAAAGACAGCTTGAGAGGATATGAAAACATTTTTGATGTTTATTTTGGAACTATTTTTCAAAGATTTAAACTGTTTTGCGGGCCCTATGACAATTGAGATAACGTACTATATATATTTAACGTTATTCTGGTAGTAGAGGGCCAAGCGTGCCGTACTAGCTAACGTTCCTGGAATGTGAATACCAGGATTCATGGATCGCGTCCTGTTGCTGCAAAAATGCGCTCCGCACTTTGCAGTCATGGGTGTGGTATACGAGGGATGGTCAAATTCCACTCTTCGGTCATATGAGAGTAGTCCAAGAGTTTATGATAAAGTGCTTTTGAATAGCTGCCTTTCCTCTTGTCTATCTTTTCAAAATGAAGGTAGACCTTTGTGTTGTTTTACTACTAATAGCAGAACATTTTAGTAATTGGATGTGCGGGTGAACTGATTAGTAGTAAAGCTCTCTGTCAATAATATGACAGAGTCAAAATAAACTTTAGAGTTAGAATCAGTAAATCTGCCTCACATATTTATTAATATATAACTGCACTTGGTATTTAGTTTTACATCATTTGACTTCATTACTATACAATGATTTTACATATCATCGTAACTTCACTTTCATCACTTCCAGCTTTGGAATGCAGCATGACGGATTTGGAAACAACTGTGCTGTGGGACTGAATAGATCTGGACACATCATGACTACTCAGCTTTCTCAGCTGGTCCATCCTGTCACATGGTCACCTTGTAGTCGCCATTATATAACAAACTTTTTAGAGTAAGTATCACTTGGAAATTATTGTTTCGGAATCCGTCTATCTGTAAAACAGTTTCACAAAGTAAGCATGTATTTTATGTTGACGTCATGTGGTTATTTGCAGTGATCGCTCTAGAACTGATTTTGTCAGATAATTGTATTTTTGCATTTATTAGCCTTCTTGAGCTGCCATAAAACGACAAATGTCGTCAGTAATGATAACAGAATAGTACACTGTTTCATGTGTGCATTTTTCTTCAGGCTGTACCTTGGACAAAACAGAAGAAGTGAAAGTCCACTAAATCAACAATAATAGTTACAGTCTTCTTCAGGCTTCACCTTAGAACAAAATAAAAAGAGTATCGCAAGCCAACTAGATTACAAATGACCAGTGAGAGATTCGACTGTAGAAACAACACAATCAGGAGTTATTGGTATAAATAAATAGAAAACTAATTAACTAAAACGAAAGACTAATTTTCACTAGCATAAATGATCAATTTCTACTCGATGTTAAGGCCTTTCTTTAGTAAGTTAGTGACACTGTTTACAACCAATGTGCGTACTCTTTACGTTTCTTACAAGTATATAGCCACATATTCCAATTAGTATCATTAATACGCAGAATATTCTCATTTACACAAGCTATGTTAACTCTGCTCGATAATAAAAATATGGACACTCTGAAGCTGTTAATAATACTTATTAGTGAAGGCCTTCACAAGTGGGCCAGACGTGGTATAATGAGTTAGTGTGCACGAATTATGAATCCGATAGCTGACGGTTTACTGACTACTGCTGCAGAAACGTGTTCCACAATTTTGGGCCGTGTATGAGAGTGACATTCAAATCTTATCATTCTTTCAAACAAGAGTAGCTCACGAGTTGACGGTGGGTGGTGTTGACTAGTTGACTTCCCTCTAGTCTATCACTTCAAATCTAAAAAATTGCGGAATTCGCTAATCGAATTTTAGTTTTATTAATTTCGCAAAAGAATGTCGTTAGAAATATAATAGTTGATCTATTTTTATCATATTAGATAATTAAACAAATCGTTAAAGTATGTAAGCTTGTGATTTGTTTACTATAATCTATTATTCTATGAAAAAAGATACAGATACTAATGCACTAATAATGTGGTCAAGTTATGCAATTTCGTGTATTTTGTGCTGATTATTAACGTGGTATTTCCATGTCTAGTTCAGGACAAGGCGAATGCTTGAAGAATAAGCCAAGGTTTGAAGAGTTTGACTATCCAAGTTTTCTTCCAGGAGAACTGTACAGTGCTGATGAACAGTGCCAATCTCAGTACGGCTCTTTATCGACAATCTGTCAGGAAGCGCAGGAGGTAGACATGGAATTTATGTTTCATCGACTTCAATTTCTGATGTGTTGGTGAATGTTTAGAGCAAAAATATCTTAAAACAGATATAGAAAACCATGTACATGTTTATAGCAACGGATAAATCTTCAAAATCAATACATAGTATATATTTACAGCATAAGAATGTACAATATTTAATTACACATACGCTCACACATATCCGTCTTTATATATTTTACAAGAGAAAATAATTTTCATTATTACTAATGAACAGAAAAATTTGTCAATGTTTTGCATTTATTCCAGCTACCATGAGCAATATATTAAATACCACGAAACAGGAAAAAAACCACAAATCTAAGCTGCTAATTGCTATTATACACTAATTGCTGGTATGAATAACTTCAGATTCTCATATTAATTAATGAGAAAGAATATAGAATTATAGTTGCTTTTAAAAATTCTACATAGGGGTTGGACACAACTAAAAATGCCCAACAGAAATAGCATAATAACGTATAAAGTCCACCTTTCCTTGCTAGAACAACTCCAGTTCAATGTGGTAGGACACCTACCTACAAATTCTGAGAATTTTACTGAGGAATTAGGTTTCATTTCTGGATGAGAAATATTTCTAACTCCTTGAGGAAAGGAAGTGGTGGGAATCTGTGACAAAACCTATTTTACAGAATTTTCCATAATGATTCGATTACATTTGGGTCTGGTGAATCAGAAGACTAGGGGAAATGGGTAAAGCCAGAATGTGAAGGCCAGGGAAGGTGGTTAATGTCAAAATAAGATGGGCGGGAGAGATGAATAAAGCCTGACTCTTGAAATGAGCCAACTACAATTTTTTATGTGTAAAGTGCGTTGTCATCCTCAAATATCCCATATCCAGCTAGATAGACAGCGTGTATCATGGGCAAGAAATTATAAATTATAATCTCCAAATAAATGATCTGTTATTTGCCTATTCAGGAGAATAATGAGACTCATTTTGTGTCAACATAATTCAATTCACGTCATGACAGAGCCCACAGGAATATAACTGTTGGGATTAAACATTCGGGGTTGTATGCCTCCTTGTGTTGACGTCAAACATAATCACGCCTACTTGATGAAAAGGGCAAATGCAGAATCGTCTGACTAGATAATAATGCTTGGGTCCAGTGGTTGTGATCATTGCATTATCAACCATGTTTACGGGCATTTGTTGGTGAAATCATTGGTTTAGGTATTACAGCACGTCCATGATAACTTGCTTTATGAAGCATTTCTCTTGTTTTGACACACACGCTAGTTTGTCTTAATCGAGTTCCTACAATCTATCCTCTTTGAAAGTTTGAAACCGTTGATTAAGTCACACGCTTGTTTCCCGTGTCATTTGACAACTAACATGGAATAGGACTTACAGGTGTTTAAATAATACAGATCACTTGTTAAGAGCTTATTTGAATAACAACTTAATCAATCTGCTGGAAATATAGTTAGTTTGATAACTTGGAAAGAACTAATACGTTTTTTAGCAGATGTATACTCTTAGTATAGTACATCCAGACACTACAGAATATCTATTTATAAACTTTATCAATGTCAGAGCAACCAGTCAAAATGTTATGTAGAACAGCTTGACACACATATATATTCTAAAGAGATAGTAAATTATGTTAGTTTAAGAAATAATCGACACCCACTTTGCTTTTGCATTTCCATCTTAAACTGTATGATTTTGTAACTTGAATTAAGTATTTAATGATAGAGTAATCTATTTGATGCAGATAATCCTTATAAATTTGGGACAACGCTGCGACTAGCTACTGTTTTCTGTTTAGTCGAAGTTAATCGTTAGATTGACAGATCATTAGATTATTCATACTCTAAACAGCTTCTTTGTTTTTTTATGAAATTAAGATATTTTACTCAATAACTTAATATAATGTGGTAACAGTAAACATTTCAACTAGTATAGGAAGTAGGGAATGTGATACTATGTGTTCATTGCCTAGTAACTAATACAAAAAAGTGATATGAACGACAATCATGTCGAGTTACACGTTTTTCATAGTGCTTAAAACTTTAGACTTGTTATCGATTAAGACAAATGATGGGATAATGCAATCTGCCTGTAAAATTTGAAAAATCATAATAAGTTTTTGGAACACCTAGAATTTATCACTGAAGGGGGATTATTATTTCATCACATCAAGTTGAGTGTAGATGTTGTTCATAATGAATGTTGTTTATCTCTTGATAGCAATCACAACAGTAGCTAATGGCTGGTATAAGTTTTGAAATAATGATGTGAATAGAATAGAAAATTTGTTTGTGATTTTAAGGAACCGTGTGAGGCTCTGTGGTGCGAACAGCCGCAAGGAGGTTGTGCAACAAATCACATACCTGTACTAGATGGAACTCCTTGTAATGACACGAAAGTGATGAGTGGAGTAAGTATCATTGTAACATATTTGTTTTTCTTTACAAAATGACATTAAATTAGTGTGTATGGACTAAAATCAAAAGTACATATGAAGAAAAACTTATCGGAAATCACAAAAACACTAATCTTCTAATCAGATCACTTTCCATGTTTTTCATTTAATTCGAAATTATATATTGTTTCTATTTTTTGGGCTTTTCAAAAACAATCTAAAATATGTAATAATTATGAGTTATTTCTAAACCAACAGGCTTAATATTTGTAATGAAAATCAAGTAAATTGCACATGCTTATATTTACGTTACTCTTAGTTACTCCATTTCTTATTCCTAACCAGAAATGTGTGAAAAATAATATCTGAAAAGCAACTGCTACTTAAGGGGTTTTTGATTTTCAATTCTTCGCCAGCTTTCGACGGTTAAACAGCAACTTTTATTGAAGTAATTTCAAATTATTGAATATGCTATTTAAACTATTTAATTTGATGCTAAAGCGAGATTTTCTCAAAATAAAGTGATTAGCAAAATGATTATCCAATACAGTAGCTCAAGAAAGTGAAAGAAAAGTTTTAACGTAATCACATAAAGATTATTTGAAAGATATCATAATATATATACGAAAAAACATATATATAAAATTTGATCTTGAAAATTGTTTATTATTGTGGATTTATAATACCAATTTTAAAGCATCATATAACTACTTTTGACTATCTAGTTAAGAGGAAAGTGTAATAGCATAGAAGATACATCCATTGAAAGACGTTTACTCGACAACATATACGTATGTATACCTACCTGTAAACGCATCTTGTTTAGAGCATCCAGAACAGAGAGGTAAAAGTATGAACAAAGCTGTTTGTAAAGAGTTCGTCATCGTCAAGTTTCTTTATCCTCGACATTGGAAAATACTATGCTTACATATTGTTACAACAGCGGAAGTCGTGTGACGCTGGTGACACGTGGTGAATTCCTCGATTGATCATAAATGATCGGGGAGGCCCGACTGTATTCGAGACGCCCTTCTTCGTTTGTATATAAGCCTGGCAGAGAAGCCAGCGATAGATAGATAATTAAAGAAGCGAACAGTAGTGACGGTAATATAAAGTGTGTGTTTGTACTCGTAGAGAGCAAAGTTATCGAGATTGTGAATCGCTGTGATTTATAGCGTGTATTATAAAAGTAGTAAGTTTAAAGTGACGAGAAATGTACTGATTGTGGAATTACTGTGTACTAAAAGTTTGTGTCGAGAAATAATAAACTGGTTTAATCAAGAAGGGACTTGTATCACTGAAGTTCCTCGGAAAGAATTTATACCGGAAATTAATAAACAAGCAGATACCTAACAACATTTTATTTTATTTTTTTGCATATTAAAAAAGATTAACTTTTGTAATTTATACTTATGATCACAGCTGTAATCTATAATTTTTCTTTATCTACCTCAACCTTGGTCTGGTAAGGGTAACTGTATTTTTTAAAATTTAAGAATATGCCTCTTTATTTCAGAGACAATTCTAAACGAATTTATCATTTTTTCGTAGGCTTTTTTTGAAGTTAGTTGATATCATTTTAGTCTGTTGTGATGTTTCACAAATGTATTTATGCTTTTTATCTCAAGTGGTGCCACAGTGGACAGTGTGTAACTCGTGGTACCAAAATTGAGCCAGTGGATGGGAGTTGGGGACAGTGGTCAGACTGGAAAGACTGCTCGCGGAGTTGTGGAGGCGGAGTAGAGTTCAGTGAAAGGCTCTGCAATGATCCCAGGTCAGTGATATTGTTGGTTCAAATAGTTAGATATAATCGTGGTTTAATATTATTATTATTATAGACGACAGTTTACCTGATGATGAACATATGAGAGGTCGAAACGTTGTTATAAAGTAAAAAAAAAAAAAAGTAATTATAGACGACAGTTTATTTGGTATTGAACACATGAATGGTCGAAACGTTGTTATAAAGTTAAAAAATAGATAAGTAATCCATTAAAACAGTTGTGTCTCTTGACTTTTATTTAAAGTATACAGAAAATTTTCTCTCTTTACAACAAACCTCACTTTAGCTGTTTTGTTTGTATTTTGAGAAGTAATTGTGTCTTGATAAATTCTAAAATGCAGAACATATGTAGAATGTTTTATGTTTATAAAGTAATATGTACAATTCAATATAATAACGCAATGTTGGTCATAACTTTGATGTAGTAAACCCAAGCTGATTTTTTTCGTTAATTATCATTACCTGTAAAATGATTTTGATAGCTATTGTAGAGTTTTATCTATAGCTACTGTAATGTATTAAATTACAAGTCCGTTATCGGCCTTCACAAATTAAAGTGATCCATTAATAATATATAATGACAAAAATAAAACTTTGATATAATAATTATAATTATTATTGTAATTTTTCCTCAGTGGAAGTGAGAACTGCACATTTTTCTACTCATGTTCTTGCTTCCTAACAAGACTCAGCACCGAAGAAAAATCTTTACTTAACATAACTATAGAAATTTTAATTTATACCTGCAAATCTGACACATAAAACTGAGAAAGTTCCTTATAACTATGTACAATATTTGTCTCCAAGAAGGACTATGGGTGTTTTTACATTAAATATATTAATAGGAATATAACGATGAATGTATTAAGTTAAAAATAAACTCAAACTACCTGACAAAATGATTATTTATAAGATACACAAAAAGTGAATTGCCCACTAGGAGTTGCAAAATTCATGAACCAATAATAATAATAATAAGACCGAAGCGTTTATAAATTATGTAATATATATATTTCTGTATTGGAAACGATTAGTTGTTCAGTTCTTCTAGAAATAGGTACAACAAAAGAAAATAAATTTGCATAAGATTGGTTATTATATTATAGATAAATGTCTTTGCATAACTTTTGGAAGATTTATGTGACGAGAAAATCAATTAACCTTAATTGTGATTTGCTACTACAACCGAAACTCACAGCAGAACAAAATGAAATTTATTAATCGAGAATAACCGCTTTTCCCTAAACTCCTAAACTTTAGTATGCACACTGACGTCCGTGTGTTATTACGACCCATCCTTCTCACAAACGGTTTTATAGAACACTCCATTTATTAGCACATGCAAAATAGATTGTGCCAGGTGATTGCTGCGGTCCCCAAATGGATAGAGATCTGTCACTAAGAAACAACATAGTCACCAGCTGTTGGCGACTTTCTAACGCAGAAGCGATTAGATAGGATTGAAAAGTGCAACAAACGACAGACCGATATTTACAACTGTGGTCAAGATTCGACTACTTCCAATCACATTGTTTGAAGGAAATTACAAACTTATATATGGTAACCAACAATCCACCCAAAACCCAGTGGAATTTCTAGGATTTTTTATTGGGGGAGGCAGATAGGGACTGTATCAGAAAGTGGGTCAAGTGTTTTTACGTGCAAACGAAATAGGCCTTTTGTCTTTAAGAAGTGAATTTGTTCTTTTTTAATTATCAAAAAACCGAAATTACCTCAGGTTCTGCACAGTTTCACGGCGGTCTGATGCTATTTTAAACTTCTACTAAACTCATCCTCTGGGTTTCATCTGATTGGAGGTAATGTTTTGGGTTCAAATTGCATTGTATTACTACCACGCCTGTCCAAACAAACAAACCAAAAATATTCGTGTCATTTAAAGTCACGATGTTGGGAGAAGTTAAAAACCTTAAAAGACTAACTCCTGAAATATTTCGCCATGCCACTGCCAAAACCACTTACCTTGGATGCGAGCAAAAAATTATGATTTCGGTGTGGTAAAGCTTGAGTACTTGAGCTTTACAGTTTCTTTCACTGACGTCACGCCGTTGCCAAAATCACTTATCTTAGATACTAACAGAAATCTATGATTTCAGTGTGGCTTGGCTTCACTGACATTAGAGTACGAGTACGGAGAACAGAACACGAGACACTTGATGTGCAAGCTGTTAGAGACACGTAATGATGTGGAGAACGTTCTCGTGACTGGGATTGGGTTTTTCTTCTTTTAGAAAGACAATAACATTTACAATGTAACTGAATGTGGTTGTTGATCATATCATTCTCACTCTGACGAATAAAGACATTTTCAAAACAATAATTCAACAATAATGGCTGGAGACGGCTCAAAGTGGGTTCCTCGTCATCGAAAATAATTCAACAAATCACCATGCTCGGATGAACCAAAGTTGGTTAGAAAAAGCTTTACAATGTCTTCAGTCACCTACTTTGCTCAGCAGAATGACCAAAGCCGATTGAGCTTTTTTGAGATGAACTTGAATGTCACATTCATCAATGCTCAGTTGCACACCATTTTTTCCAGTGAATGGGTTAAAATTAAGTGGCTAATATAAAACTTAATTTACTCTACTACAAACGAGAGGTGAGAAAAATCATTGTAATAAAATTCACTTATTTTTCACCAAACACTTAAATCATGTAGCAACTATTACTTAAATTCTAATATTAATTTGAATTATATATTTAGTTAATCGGCATAGAAATGTAACCATTAGCACTAAGATTATCGAGTAGAAATATTTGGTTTGGTTAGTTTTGAATTTCGTGCAAAGCTAAACGAGGGCTATCTGCGCTAACTGTCCCTAATTTATCAGTGATATACTAGAGGGAAGGCAGCTAGTCAACACCACCCACCACAAACTTTTAAGCTACTCTTTTACTAACGAATAGTAGGATTGATCGACACATAATAACGCCCCAATGGCTGAAAAGGCAAGCATGTATGGTGACGAGGATTCGAAATCCCGACCCGCATATTGCAAGTCAAGCGCCCTAACCACCAGATGACGCCAACCCGAGTAGAAAGAAATTCGTGTTTCTAAAACGAAGAGCACCATAATAACACTGTTATGAAGTTGTTATATTTCGAGAACGGGTTGAGTTGATGTGTTATAATTGCAAAATAAAAAGGGAAAAATTAGATTATAATAAAAGTAATTGTTTTATCAAGTATTTTAGTGCTGAAATACATTTCTCAAGCTGTGTTTGTAAGAACATTTTGCATAAAAAATATCTAAACAGAAACCAGGTGAGTTTAATTGTCATTTTTATATAGATAGTAATCATTTTCTATAAAAGTATGCAGTGAAAAACACTCACTTGTAGAAAGTGCATCATATTGTTTAATTACTGGTCATCCGATTAAGTAATTTTCTTTTGTTTTGTACCAAGATCTCAGATATTGAAATCACGATAGAATTAATATATTAGACATATAAAAATATTCTAACTTTTAATTATCTATTAACATATTACTGTGTATTTTTTTCACAATTCTATGCTAGTCTCTTCATATTGAACAGTAATCATTAAAATAAACGTAGTTTGCCAAAAAGTTTCACAAGCCTGTATGGAATATATAGTTCATCGGAATTCACGCATAGAAAAATGTTCGTATAGTTTATCAATATTAAAGATATTGAAGAAATTTATAAGTACTTATAACTTTCAGGCCTATGAACGGTGGAGATTACTGCATTGGCCATAGGAAAAGATTTCGGATTTGCAATAATCAGGTAAATTATGAGGAAAAGAAGACTAACTTGAGTTTTGACATAATATTGATTCAATCAGTGTTATTTATAAGCTGCTAATAACCAAACTTTACTCCAACGGTTACATAACGTTTTTGTTGAGTGTCTAAGACTCCCCTTCAATATCTAAAAACGATATTTGATAATGAAAGTAGTTTAAAATGAGGTGCATAACTACCTATAATTTCCTGGACAATAAAACTATAGACATGTTTATCACCTTGTTGCTTTCCGTTTTCGCCTATGTTGGCCTTTTCAGATATTATATCTGAAATATCTTATAAAATATCTTCAGATATTATAACTATTATTGCTTTAAAGCATTTACACTAGATAAAGAATTAAAACATATATCTGATTATTTTGAAATAGGTTATGGTTATGTATTTACAATATTTCAATATATGCACCACCTATGTATTTATTTGTTTGACATATATTTTCATTCGTATATGTTTTGTCTTGGTGCGTACTTGGATTATATGTCTATACATTTACACTCTTATAATGCAATATTTTATTTTACGATATTTTTGCAATCTACTTTGTTCTTATGTCTCTTTTTCATTTTTGTACATTTATTAGACAAGTATAAAGTCATTGGTTAATTATGTTACTGTTTACAAGTTGTAAAATAACTTTAGTAATTGGTGCGCATGTTTTCCGACAAATGTTTTACAAAGACTAGGGTGAGTTTTCTAGATTATTTTAGTAATACATGATTAAAATACAGTTTATTTTTATAATTTTAGAATTAGGGTTGGACAGGTCAGTTTGGAAGGAAAAGAGGAAGAAAATGAGTGGTACAGGACTGTATCTTACATTATCCTCTCCCCTAGGTAATACGCGAATTTCATTGAAATTTCTGTATTTTCTTTTAACCCAGTTTCGATGAAGATAATTGCTCAAGTAAGCCACTCAGTCTTCCCCTTACATTTTAACTAGGGAGGGGGAGCTAATACATGGTACACTCCTGTCACACATATTTCCTTCCTCCTTTCTTTTCAGGCTGATCTGGCCATCCCTAATTTAAAACTATAAAATTAAACTAAACATTCCATCAGGTGTTGCTCAAGAAATCGAGAAAACCCACTGTAGCACTAGTAAAACACTTATCTAACAACATTAACTTGTAAAATAACAAAAATAACGTCATAAAAGAAATGGAATAAAGAAATAACCTCGGAGTTGCAGATTCTAGAGCCTGCATTTCGAATGCATTGTCTAGTAATGTATCTTCATTTATTGGCTTCGATGTTATGAAAATAAAGCCAACCCCAGTTGTGGTAGGCAATGCTAAAAGTTCCAAAACATCTGAAATATGAAAGTAGAAAGTTTTCACCCTTAGCTCTTTCCATTATTGAACAGTGATAGGGGAAGTTTCTCTACAACAAGGAAAATAGTGGTAACTACAACTGTCAGGTTAAAAAATGAAGATATGCAGAAGGATTAAACACTTTAACTTAACTAGGAAAATTAAGGATTGAAAGTACAGGGTTAAAATTGTCAATTGATCAGAAAATCAGAAACATCGATCAAGAATATGGGTTAAAGTGGTAATAGCCGGCTACCAAAATACTTTGTCCTAGAAATCCTGTCAGGGTTGACATATAAAAAAAAACAAAAATCAAAATAAACTTGTGGGTAAACATTTTTCTACAGATTTACATGAGCTCATACTTAACCTATTTACTTTTTCTACAGATTTACATGAACTCATGCTTAACATATTTATTTTTTTCTACAGATTTACATGAACTCATGCTTAACATATTTACTTTTTCTACAGATTTGCATGAACTCATACTTAACCTATTCACTTTTTTTCTACAGATTTACATGAACTCATACTTAACCTATTTATAGAACATGATCCCTATTACTCGTGCATAGCTTGGTAGATCCAGGCATCCTCAGGTCTCAAGCTTAACGTAAGCCTCAGGTATGCTTTCTGAAGCCACAATGGCTGTAATTATGACCCTGTAATCCCACCACATTTCCTCCACTTTCATCTCGTTTGTTACAGAAAGAAAAACGAGTTTGGTAGGAAAGAAATGGGGAAGTGAGACTGAAAGGAAGATACTCACTCGCCCTTAACTTATTTAGATTTAACACCATTGGGTGCTGATCTGATACTTCCACAATTGTAAAGAAACATGAGGACTTCATTTTCCAAAGGACAGACCACTATCCGTGAAACTGTTGCCTTCTCTATGGACAGAAGACACCACTTGTATATATGGAGGTACTATTGTTTCATCTGCAAGTTATACAAAAGTGGTCCACTATCCCTGTACTGATTCTAACTAGCACTGGATAGATCTCCAGCCGAAGTTAAATTCACCTGTTTCATTGACGAAGTTAGTAGAGAGCCTCCGCAATATTTCCCTTTCGAGTATGGTAAAACTAAGACTTGCAAAGACGAAAAAAATGAATACATAGAGTTCTAATAGTTTAAGCCCAAATGGCTTCAGGTAATAACCACAAGCTTCAGAAATCTTCATACAACCTTCATTCACAGCACTATTCACTACAACAAAGTTGTCAATTGAAACTGCAACATTACATGCCGTTTGTATGTTATGAGCTACACTAGCTGTATTTTCTGCTCTTATTGGCGTGTATTTTTCACTCATGGATAGCCATCTAGTGGTGAAACTAACATACTCGTTTGCGCAGCAAAGATATAATCGTAAACTCCACAAATGATTGTATAATCTGGGAATCATATCTTTAAATCTAAATAAATATTTCAATTTAAAATCAGATTTCAAGAAGCATCTAACTTAAGCCTACAGATATTGTCTAGCCTAGAAAGTGGTTAATTATATTTTAGTTTCAGACAAAATGCTGTCCTGTGTCAGATAAATCTATGACTGTTAGTTTCTTTGGAACAGTTAACTGCACAGTCTGAGGTGTACTAGGCAGATTAGACATCAGTGGACAAAACTGACTGAATATCAAAATCTTCTGGATGCTTATGCTTTATCATGTATTGAAGTGTAATCACTCGCAATTCTGCAAGTTCGATTGATCAAAACTTTATACAAATTAATTTTAAAAAGAGTAGGAGTAAAATATGCAACTAATTCGTAAAACGTTGGTTTATGATAAACACACAGCTTAAAACAAAACTGCTCATAATCAAATACATCAGTTTGCATCGCATTCCTGTTTAACTGGACATTTACTGCTGAAGCAACGTAGAACTTTAACTGCATATGTTTGTAACAGAACAGTTGGAGATAATGTCGTTAATAAAAACAGATGGGCATTATGTCAGTCGCAGTCTCTATTTTTATCTTAAACGTAAAATAATTACAGCGGGAGCAAACTTAGATATCATAATATTTCTATCAATCTAATTATAGATACTTCTGTTAAAAGTAAAAACAAAATAAAAAACAAATACATTAACCTTTGGAACATTTTGATAAACTATTAACTGTTTCTGAAGAAGTTGAAATCAAATTAGTGCACAAGTTAATAGTTTCTTGTAAATATCAGTGTACACTATACCTAAAATTTGTGATAGAATCATGTAAAATGCAGGTTATTTTTTCATATTCCTTTTACTTTATCTATTTCGGAATAAAAACCAGAATGTGTAAAAACAACATTTACTTAAACAGTGACTAAACATCAAAATTAGGTGTATACACATCACGATGAAATTCCAAACACTTTATTGTCCAAGAAACCACAAAATTCTCTCCTTAATCGTGTTTCATTCAAATTTAAAGTTAACCAGAAAAACCTGATAAAATGCGGTTAACAGTGTCAACACTTTCTGATATAGTACGATATTTCTACAACTGTAAAAGATATATTCGTCATTAATCTCTTGTATAACAGTTCGATTGTTATTTAGAAAATATATTTCTATCATTTTTATGTCATTTGCCTTAGTAATGTAATTATTGTTATTAACACAATTAGAGAAAGCTAATCGTATTTCACAAGATCGATTTGTATATACTAATGAAATGACATATCACCCAAATGTGAGCGAGTCAAGAGCGATAAGTTTACTGTTTATATATTTGGTTCATAGTGAATCTCTGACTATTCGACGTTAGCCACGGTAACACTTCCGTTTAGATAAATACACCCCAGCTCCCCAAGCTAGGTATAGTGGTTAGCATGCCGGTCTGTGAATCTGCAGGTTTCCTCCCCATTTTCACAAAGTCGCGCTTTGCGCGAATATCCAAAATAAACTTATTAAGTGCGATTAACCTCAGTGTACATTCCCTTTCTCTGATCGGGTAATGACTATGTCTGCATTCTTAAACTTAGTAAGAATACAGTATCCTCCAACAGGCAGATTCTGTAATTTATTTCCAAAATATGAAATGGTTAAACAACCAATAATTAGTTTTCACACTGTCGATCGAAGCAGTAACAAAATGAGATGCCGTATAACATATCAACTGTTTCAATGAGGATTAGCAGCAAACTAACAATCAAATATAATCGTTTTGGAGAAAGCTTCAAAGATGAACATGAACTAAAGTTGTTTTTTTTTCAACTTCATCAATTTGAAGTGGATTGTGAAGATGCCATCAAGTCTATTAAAAAACTGCTGACAAAAATAAATTGTTGTTTTTCAGAATTTATAGTGCATACTGGAGAGATTTAAACATTTTAGCAATAAAGTTAGAAGAAAAAATTTGCTTTACTCTCCAGATAAAAATAAACAAATTTTTATTTCAGCCTACTTTTCGCTTTATTATGGCTACTGATACAATAGCTGTTCTTGTACTGTTAGTTCTGACAAAGCTGCAATGTCGAAACGTAGGCTGATATAAAATTTGTTTTATCATTATAATCTGAAAAGTAAGGATAGTTTTTTCTAACTTTATTTCCAAAAACAAGGTTGATTAGATTTACATAATTGATTAAACCTATACTCAGTTAACACACTATTACTATTTTAATCAAACAAGTTTCTAAAATAAATGAAATCTAAAAAAGAAATTAAG